AAAAAAAAAAAGGAAAGCAAGAAGAAGAAAGCACGAAGAAGAAGGAACAAAGCAAGAAAAAGAAATCAAGAAGATGAGGAAGAATCCAAAGAACCATGACACTCAGGGATTGCAATTGAACCACCAGTCCCCCCAACACTTGGAAAATTTGGGGGACCAGTAGTGCCAGTACGCAAAAAAAAAAAAAGTGTACTGGTAGCCGAAGGGAGAAAAAAATGGAAAAAATTGCAGAAAATTGTAATCGTGCCACCAGAGTTTATTTTGCCATCTTAGAATATTTCTCATGGAAAGTTTTTAATATATTTTTCCTGAAAAGATCAGCAACAAATCTGCATTCCTGAGGTTTTCCAGATTTTTTTGTGCATAACACTGGAAGCGAAAAACCGCCAAAGTTGGTGCATTCTTTTTCTTTTGTGAACCGCCTCCAAACCCACAGCGGCCAGTATCAGTCCATAGGTCCCCCTGTGTCACGGTGAGCTCACCAGGGTGCCAATTTCAGAGTGGCAGGGGGGAAGTGGTTTAAGGAGTAAAGCTCAGTGAGGAGCAGAAGTGGAGGGAGAAGGACAGAAAGAGTAGAGGGGCTGAAAAATGAAAACGGACATAAAAAAATACTCACTCCCCTCAATGTGCTCCTTCCATCCATCTATTCATCAGGTCAGGAAAGTTGGTAACCCTCTTCAGAGGCCCTTGTTCAGGCCCAGCTACGAGAATAAATGGGGGAACGCCCACCCACCCACCCACCCACCCACACCAGTCCATCCTGACCAGCTTCATGCCTGGCCCGTTTGTCGCAGGCCAGAAGGATTACAAATAAACAAGAACTCATTAAGGTGAAGACGTGAACAGTAGTGTACCCCACTTCCGTACAGAAAAAAGGAACCCTTTTAAAAAAAAAAAAAAAAAAAAAAAAGGGAACCCCTGATGTCCAACAGCGAGTCAGATTTGCAATCCAACATCTCAGCTTGTTGGTAAGTGTGTAAAGGTGTGCAGCACACCCACCTCTCCATCTGTCTTGAAGGTCCAATCAATCCTTCCGTCGCATGCAGAAAGGAAATAGATACATCCATCGTAGCATCCCACCACAACCTGTTGCAAAAACCAACAAATCAACAAGTGGAAGATCTTGCCATGAGGCGTGAGCTACAATCTCGATTCCTTCACATCTGTTTCGAACTTTCAGTCACAAAGAGAACAAATCACTGCACATCCTCTCTCTCTCTCTCTCTCTCTCTCTCTCTCTCTCTCTCTCTCTCTCTATCTATCTATCTATCTATCTATCTATCTATCTATCTATCTATCTATCTATCTATCTATCTATCTATCTCTCAGTGCAGGTTCAAGGTTCAGCATCATGACTGTATCATACCAGAGAAAGAGCTTGTATACATTCATGATCACATTACACTGCACTATGTTGGGGAGAGGCGGTGGCTAACTCACTGACCCACAAGACCCTCGCAATAGTTCCAAGCCAAAATGTTGTGGGACGCTTGCAGTGGTGGTCCCAAGCCACTGCCTAGGTACCCTTCCGCTGGTCCCAAGCCACTGTGGCTTGGGGCTCATGAAGTGGTCCGAAGCCACTGCCTTGGGAGAAATTGGGACCCTTGCAGTGATCCCAACCCAATGCTTTTGGACCTTTGCAGTGGTCCCAACCCACTGCCTTGGGACCCTTGCAGTGGTCAGCAGTCACCTTGCCTTGGGACCACTCTGCTTTGGGACCCTTGCAGTCGTCCCAAGTCACTTGAAGGGTTCAAAGTCGAACCTAAAAAAAGCTCCTTAAAACCAAGTAGAAACAAGGCACAAGTTACCTGGCTCTGGTGGCTTTGTACACAGTACCACCCATAACTGTTAACAAACAGAGCCAGAGTTCAGCTTGTGTTGGATAGAACGAGGTTAGGGTATACCTCCTTTAAAACACAAAAAAAACAGCAACCTCAAGTCAAGGCAAGGAGTTTGAGATAACATCCTACTGAAGATGGGACACAGGGCTTGGTCTGAAAAGGACAGGGGGATCCACTGGGGAAATGATGACTGTTCTGGCGGCCCACTAGGGGCTGAAGAGGTGGCCACCCGTCCAAGGCATATTGTCACCGGGTTATGTTTTCACAGTGCCTGCACAGTCAATCCCCGCCGGGCAATCAATGCTGGCAGGTTTACACAGCAAAGTTCAGTTTTGATAGTACTGTGCTGGACCCGTTTTCTAGCAGGTGCTGCTCCCCACCAATAGACCGGAGCAACCAGGCTGCCCTTATCACCTCTCCTAGCGTGGCGGCGTGGTTATTCACCGAAAAAAAGATACACAAACTGCTGAAACTGACCAGGCAGAACAAGCACAATGCTGCCAACATCTCAGGTGGCTCCCCGAGTCCCCCTGAGTTACAGTGCTCGGAGATATGCTGACAGCCCTGGGGAGGCCGGCGGCAAATGCCGATTGGATCCTGAGACCGGCACTTCAGAAAACGGCACTATGGAAAGACAAACACACTTCTTTGCTAGGAAGAGAAGGGTCTTTGCGCAGGAAAGATGCGATGGCCTCCATAACGTATAGGAAGATAGGTGGAGCTAGTAGCTCCCCCAGTCGCACAGATCTAGAAATCCGGTGGCTTTCTGATAATAGCCAGCTGACGTGGATGCAGCCGGATGTGTCATTATACAGGACTCTTACCCATTTTCTGAAATTTGGGCCCATGCCCATTTTTTCCATGCTTGTGTCTAGGAAGTCCCAGTTCACCTGGTAATATGCCTTTTCAAAGTCGAAGAGTAGAATCGCGGCATTGATTTTCTTCTCCATGATTATCTTTGAGGACTCGTTTCGAGTCATGACATTATCGAGAATGTATCGTCCTGGTATGAAGCCAGCCTGGTCTATGTGAGAAAGTATTTGTCCGTTAGATCCAAAATTCTGAAGGCTAAGGCTTTAGCCAGAATTTTGTGGGGGAGTGTGAGTAGGGAGATCGGCCTGTAGTTCCTAATGTCTTCCCGTTCACCCTTTTTATAGAGGAGTGTGACAACACTGGTACTTAGAGGTTCTCCCATAACCTCTTTTCCCCAACAGTCGTTGTAGAAATGCATACGGTGGGTTCCCAGTAAAGGCCAGAATTTCTCCCAGAACTTTTTTGTAAGCCCTTCTATACCCGGGGTCTTGTTGTTGTTCATGCTCCAGACTGCAAAGAGTAGCTCTTCCATAGTTAGGGGTCTATCTAAGTTGTCTTCCTTCTCTTTTGAGAGTTCCTTGTCTAAACATTGGAGCATCCTCGATCTGGGTTCCCGGACATCAGAGGGAGTGGCGGACGGTGTCTTAGACTGGTAGAGGTCTTTGTAAAAACGTTTTGCAACCTCCAGTATACCCTCGCTGTCTGAGCGGATTGCCTGTTGGTCCGTTTGTTCTTTAAGTCCCTCAATTGAGTTGGATCTATTATTGGCTTTTGTTCTAGCGAAGAAATGTTTGGACATTCCTTTATTCGGTTCCAGGTCTGTCTTTCTGGCTCTGATTTGGAGGCCTTTCAGTTTCCACTGATGCCACAACGCTAGTTCTTCCCTAGATTTCTTGAACACTTCCGCATACATGGGCGGGGAGGGGTCGGTAGCTAAGTTACTTTCCGCTATTCTGAGGGCTGTTTCCAGCGTGTGCTTTCCCTGTTTTCTGTCATTTGCCAGTTTTCTTGATATTCTTGCTGCTGTTTGAGCCAGTGTGAGGTAGCTGTCCTGAAACCACTCCCATCGGTCTTGACCAGGTAAGCATCGCCCGTTCAGGTTTTGCCGACCCTTTATGATATTCTCCTGGAATTCCATACTTAGCAAAAGGGAGTTATTCAGTTTGTGAAAGCTTCTTCCTTTCCTTATGTACCAGAATCTGCATTTGAAAAGCACACACACACAAAGATTTTGGGGGCTGCTGTTGTGCGCAGCCCCGATTTTTTCGTTTCGTTCTTGTCTACTACAAATTTTTACAAAGGGAGGGGCGGGGGGTGTGCCACCGCAAACCGCCCGCCCCAATTTTTTTCATTGACCCCTATTTTAACGGGGGTATCGCATCACGTGTCCATGCACATTGCACCGCAGCTATTGTTCAAAAATAAAAATAAAAAATCTGGAGCCAAGACATGCAAAACCTCTGCCTTCTGCTTACCAGGCTGCCATCCAGCGTTGAAGAAGCTGTGGACTCAACTCTTCCTCCAAGCTGTGCCTCCCACACCTTAGTCCCGCTGCAACCAGAGGCAGCACCACATCCATCACGCCCACCCACAAAGGCACGGAAAACCTCATCATCCACATGCCATACCCATACGCAGAGTGAGGTGGAGCCCATGGGTGTCTGCATGACATGACATAGACATTGACTGCCCCAGTGCCAAAGTAAGGACTAATGTTTAACAACTTTAACCCACATCCATACGGGGCAGGTGACGACAAAGAGAGCTGCCCCTGATGTTACAGGTCAGCAGATAGATCCTGACCCTATGGAACAGTTCTAGGTGTTGTTATGATTTGCAACACCCGAAGAGTTCAAACGGAAGAGGAATGCAATAATGTAGTACTGTAATACTGTAATAAAATTTCTAAAGAAAAGATTTAAAAAAAAAAAAAAAAAAAAAAAAAAAAAAACATAAAATATTATTTATAATGGAAGGAAAAATAGAGTAGGTAGTAGGTACTGTCATGAAATTCAACTTTCAAAGTGCGAAAAACAAAAAATAGGAAGAAAACGGGTGATAAACCGCAAGTTGAAGGGTGGCATTGTGTTGCCTTTTTCAAAGTGCAATGCTGAGTTCCAGGTGTGCTTCTAACATCGTCCCCTGAATAGAACATACGGTCATTATCGCTGTGTCTAGAGTCTGGACTTTAGACTGACGTTGCCCCAAATACAGGAATAATGACCGTACGTTCTATGTGGGGGGACGGTAATTGAAGTGTGAGTCTGTGCGACAGTAATGTTGTGAGTTCGAAAATGTGGGAGACCGAGTTCGAACCATGACACTCAAAAGGTCAAACTGTTATGTTCATCAACTAGTTGCTGTGTAGAGTGAATGGTACACGACTGTGACTGTTGATGAGTATACAAATAAATAAATGAATAATGATCTAATTCAAGTGCAGCAATGTGATTGTGCTGATCACACTGAATATACAAAAAGTGACGAACCAAGTGTGCAGCAAGTTTCAAACAAAGAAGAAGAAGAAGAAGAAGAAGAAGAAGAAGAAGAAGAAGAAGAAGAAGGAGGAGGAGAAAGAGAAGGAGGGGATGTCTTCTCCGTGCACATGATCAACGTGGACGCATTTTACAATTTTAGTATGTTACATCACAATCATTACATTTGCATGTGTTGTGAGCTTTAGACAACAAGAAAGCGACTATCACAGGCCCTTCGTACAAAGGGCCTGCAATAGTCGCTCTCTGGGAAGCCCATGCCTTCACCTTATTCACTACAGCCACCTGTAAGCACCTGTTTTGCCTCTAAATGGCCTCATCGGATGAGCTAAACTCCACCCCACCTCAGGGGTCAGGATGCCAATTCGAGCAACGGGATAAACTTATGACAGTCAAGAGCACCAACTACAGGAAAGCAGTAAGATACCGTTGTAACACTAACGTCGTCAAGTGAAAAGAACACAAGGAGCCACAGACCTCCAAAGCATCCATTAAAATTGGAACGATAACGAGAAGATTAGCGCGGCCCCTGCACAAGGATGACAGGCCAAATGGTTCTTTTTCTTTTCCGTTTAAGAACACAAGGAGCCGTCCTTTGGGACGCCCGCAAAAATTGGAAACAATACAGAGAAGAATCAGATTGCACAAGGAACACATACACAAACAGGAAAATGCCCCCCTCCAACCCCCCCCCYCCCCCCCCAAAAAAAAAGAAAAAAGGAAAAAAGGAAAGAAAACAAGGATCAGGGAAGCTCTTCAGGTATACTTGTTGAATACAACAGGTAGACGTAGGCACCTCTTCACGCAGGCATACAAAATGAATGTGATTACATTACAAAAATTCATCAGCACACATGAGGAACTGTGAGAGTGAGCCAAGGGACAATGAGAGTGGGATTGAGAGGTGTGCATATCCCACGTACCTGACAGCGTCTATGCAAACAAAGTTGTTGGCGTGAGAGCCAATAAACACATTCCACTTGTTGCCGCGCCTGACAAGCAAAGGAGAAGCGTCCACGCATGACCCAAGCCGCACCCTCCATGTCTCCTTCATTCCCAGTTGCGCTGGCTCTATAGATATTTCCTCGAATGGGGTGGCATGTGCTGGAGAGAATGATGAAGGACCATATGCACGTTCGTTACGCGATCTATCCGACATAGGACACATAAGAGGAGTTATTCTATTCATCCTAGTCATGGAGAAACTGCACGGCAAACCTGCGACAGACTCTGGAAACACAGGGACAGGGTGCGCCGGCAGGGTAGGCTGCAACAGTGAGCATTCCTGACCAGAAGGAACCTTCTTGTTGTTCACAGTCTCACCATGGTCAGTGCTCAGGCTATAACCATCCCTCTCTTTAACACCCACTGCTTCACCATCGTTAATGGCACTAGTGCTCAGGTCCAGACTATTGTCAGGTGGGTCTGTGGGGCGCAGAAGCTTGGCAGGTGGGGATTCACCGGAGCCCCTCATGGCATGATCGAAGGACTTTGGCAAAACATCTCCTGGTGTTTTCCTCTTGCCTTCGTGCTCCCGAGATACTGGAAGGCTACTGCTTTCAAAGGGTACTGCTTTTTTACACTGCCCCTCAAGGCTGTCGATCCTCTCGAAGGCTACTGCGTCATTAGCAGTGACAGTCTCGTTGTTATTTGCCCCATCCTTGCTCTGCCGAAACAATGCCAGATCGCGTGCTCTTGGATACTCGTAGACCGTCTGAAGCTCCAGCCCGAGTTCAAATGCCTGCAGACAAAGTGCACACGTCAAGGCTCAAGAATAATATCTTAGCGATTCTCAGTAAGAGGTTGTCCAGTGTTCCTACCTGCCTGATAGCTGAACCGTACATACATGTGACTGTTGAGAAATACATCAGGAGTTCAAAACCTCAAAGTTAAACTTCAAATCGGTTGTTGGCTAGGCTACGTCCCGTGCGGCACGGGCAACCCCTCCTCCGCCCGGAACCCGCCCGGGATGCCCGGCCGGGCGGGGCCGTTTTTTGTGTTGTTTTCGGGCCCCGGGCGTGGACGATGGGCCAGATTACGTACCGGCACCAACAAAAAAATCGGGGTCCAACCGGCCCCTGTTTTTTTCCTATATACAATGTTTGCCGTTGATCGCGGGGCTCGAATTCGAACCCCATCCCGCGGTTCGAATTTGAACGCTGTGCTGAGGCAGCATCCCGCCGCCCCCCCTCTAGCTAGGCCCCACGCGCCCTTCCGCGGCCGTCGTCGTTCTCGCTGTGGCCCCCCGCGTGTCTTCCTGGACTCCTCGTTGCGGCTGCGCCTCACGTTCTTGCTCGCCATCCCCTGAAGGTGAGTCCCCAGAACTCCCCACCTCCAACCACCGCCCTCCCCCTCCCCCTCCCTCTCCCCCTCCCCCTCCCCTTCCTCTGCCTCTGTCTCCGCCTCCACCTCCACCTCCCTCCTGCTCCTTTTTTCTTCCTCCTCCTCTACCTCCCCGTCCTCCTCGTCTTCCTCCTCCTCCACCTCCTCCTCTTCCTTTCTTCCTCCCGCCGTCATGTCACAGCTTTCTTCCTCCAGTGGCCACGTCACATGAGGAGGACAATGAAGATGGAGGAGGAGGACGAGAATGAAGAATGGCGGAGGAGGAAGAAAGGGGGAGGAGGAGGCAGAAAGGAGGAGCAAGAGGAGGACGACAATTAAGAACGGAGGAGGAGGGAGAGGAGGAACCCACCCCCCTTCCAAAAGGTCGAACACCAAAAACAAAAAACACAGCGGATTTGGACAGTTCTTGAGAAGCGCAAAAACGACCAGCCTCTGAAAAAAAAAAAAAAAAAAAAAAGGTCCGAAAATCAGTTGCCCAGGCGACCTGTGTGACTCCGGGCGGGCCGCCCTGGGCGACTTTCGTAGCCTAGGTTGTTGGATTATTTGATATAAAAATGTTAGAAGCTAAATCCCTTACAGGGTTACACAAAAAAGAGAGTAAGGAAAGAAAAGAAGGTTCTCGAGTTATCCAGTCAACAGCAGTCGCCTGCAAAGGACTAAGTAAGGAGTTTAGCAAGGCAGACTACGCAGCAGCTACAAGTGTGTACCAATATCAGGAGCTCTGTTTTTTTTTTTTTTTTTTGTGAAGCATTTAATTTTATGAATTTTAACCACTAGAACAAAAAGGCAAACATGCCGTTACCTCCCTCCACCGAAAGAGGTAACCTCCCTTCACAGAAGAGAGGTAGAAAGCTATGTTTGCAGGGGTCCCCTGTATAGCCTTAGGAGTTTAGCAAGGCAGACTACTCAGCAGCCACAAGTGGGTACCAATATCAGAAGCTCGTTTTTTTTCTTTTTTTTTGGGAAGCATTTAATTTTATGAATTTTAACCGGGCAAAGGGGCAAACATGATGTTACCTCCCTCCACCAAAAGAGGTAACCTCCCTTCACTGAAGAGAGGTAGAAACCATACTTGCGGCGCATTGCGATGCGCTGTACTGCGCACGTGCGCCGCACCGCGCTTCCCGCACGACGCGCGCGCAGTGCATGCGGCGCACCTCCAAAAATGGGGGTCAAAAAAAAAACAAAAACTTGTAAGGGGCGGTAGTAGACCCGGCCCCCTGCTCGCGTAAAATGAGAAACGACCATTCAAATTTTTTTTGGAGGCGCCGGGTTGGGCTGAAAGATTTTAGTAACCTGTAGTCCGGGTAACACTCTGTGTGACACTGTATGGTAGGGTTATTGCCGTCTGTATGGTAGGGTTCTTGCAGGCCAGATTCAGTCATGATGAGGGTCGCGATCTCTCAAAACGATCTCTTCTTATTACTTCTGTAGTAGAAAACGACGGAACTGACAGCCGTTTTTCCTGGATTTTTTTTTAGAATTTCTTTGCACGAGTGAAGCCCGGCGCGTCCAACCTGTCAGAACCTCAACGGTAATGTTCACCAACGGGCTCGCTGCACAACTCTCGACATGCACAACAAGACATAGGGCCTCGCTGCACTACTCTCAACATGCACAAAAGACAAAAATATTGGCGGTGTATCTTTCCATATTCTAACGCAAGATTCACTCTCGTTTTGCAGATTTCCAGAGTAGCGCAGCGAGGCCCATATATGGCAATGTATCTTTCCATGTTCAAGCGGAGGATTCAGTCTCATTTGTTCAGAGATTCTCCAAAAAAAAAAAAAAAAGTTTCCAGAGATAGGTTACGTGCTTACCGGATTCATCGGCCCTTCGTTCTCCACCACCCAACGTATGAATGAATCTTCCGCCAAAACATGGAAAGATACACCGCCATATTTTTTGTCCTTTGTGCATATCGCCCCGCTTCCGGATTCATGTTGCCCGTTGATAAGGGCGGTTTCTTCGGTCCGATAGTGTCAGCACACGGTTTCTTCTCTCTCTCACACGGTTTCCTCTTTCTCTCTCTCTCTCTCTCTCTCTCTCTCTCACACACACACACACACACACACACCCACACAAATGTGGCGGTGTATATTTCCATGTTGCAGCGGTAGATTCACTCGATTTTGCTCGTCGTTTCGATGGACGTACGAGGAGGCCAGACGCGAAGTTGGAGACCTCTCTCTCTCTCTCTCTCTCTCTCTCTCTCTCTCTCTCTCTCTCTCTCTCTCTCTCTCTCTCTCTCTCTCTCTCCCCCTCCCTAAAATAAAAAAACAGTAAAATAAATCCCTAAACAAACAGTAAAATAAAAAAAATAAAATAAATGGTGTGCGCACCCGGCGCACCTGCGCCCCGCCAGCGCACACCCCCCAGCGCACTGCGCACTGCGCACCCGGGTGCGCGGCGCGCGCCGGTGTGCGCGCACCGCGCAGCGCACAGGGTCGGTGCGCCGCAAGTATGGTAGAAACCTGTGTTTGCAGGGGTCCCCCGTATAGCCTTAGGAGTAGTGGTAGGTAGGTAGTGAAAGAAAGAAATGTTCCATGATATGGCAGAACGCCAGTTAAAAAATGTGAGGTGAGAGAAAAATATATATACCTGGTCCCCAATGAGGAGAAGACAGCTTAGAAAAAAAAAAAAAAAAAAAAAAAGAGAACGAAACCAGCAACATTTGCTGCAGGAGGAAAGTTCTGTGAGCACATCAAACGCCTCGATTAGATCATATTGCAGCAGGCCTCCAGGCAGAGGTTGACCGCTCTGCGTAGGCTCTCCAGAGTTCAGATGCAAGAGGTGAATACCGGGAGTTGAACCCATGTTTTAAAATTCAAATCTGACAACAGATGAATAGCTCAACTCCAGTTGGATTACAAGGTACAAGAACAATAATGTTAGCAGGCAGATCTTGACCACTGTTCGTTCTAGGCATACTTGCAAGCGCACGTCGTGCATGCGGTTCCCGCCGTGCGGCGCATGACGTGTGCAGGGAACAACCCGTCACTCCCCTCCGAAAAGAAAAAAAAGGCCGGGGGTCGAAATGGTGTGTTCGAGGGCTCCCGCCAAAATTATAAGCGGGATGAAAAAAGAATTTGAAGAAGTGCTGCCTCACCTCGCTCCTCTTCCCCTTCCTCGTCCTCCATGTCTCCTCCTCCCTTCTCCTTTTCGTTTCCTCCGACTCGTCCTCCTCCTCCTCCTCCTGTTTGCCCTCCTCCTGCCCTTCCTCATCCTCCTTGCCGCTTCCTCCTCCTCATACTTCCCCATCTTCCATGCCTCCTCGTCTCCTTCCCTTCCTCGTGTCCTCCCCTTCCTCATGTCCTCCCCTTCCTCACTGTCCATGTCTCCTCCTCCTCCCACTCCTCCTCCTCCTCCTGCCCTTCCTCTTTTCCCTCCGTCCATCTCTTCTCCTCCCCCATCTCTACTCCTCCTCCTCCTCGTTGTCCTCACTATCCTCGTCGTCCTCCTCGTCCACATCCTCCTCCCCCTCTCCTCGCCATATCACCATCTTCCTGTCATCAACCCCCCCGTCCCCCTCCTGCCCTTCCTCTTTTCCCTCCGTTCATCTCTTCTCCTCCGCCATCTCTACTCCTCCTCCTCCTCCTCGTCCTCACTATCCTTGTCGTCCTCCTCGTCCACATCCTCCTCCTCCTCTCCATATCCCCCTCTCCTTGCCATATCCCCATCTTCCTGTCATAAGCCCCCCCGTCCCCCCTCCCAAAAAATAAATAAATAATAATAATAAAAATAAAAAACCTGCATGATTCCACACAGGCACCCCCGGCACGGAACTCCGCACGAATGTGCGGCATGGCGGTTGCAAGTATGGCTCTAAGGTTTATGGAGACGAGGTTGAGATTCTGTCGTACATAAACTCTTCCTGCTTCGTCAGTTTGCGTGAAGCATATTGTGTTCTGTCTTAGTTGTCTTGCAGACCATCTCCCATGACATGTCCAAAGACTCCGAACCAAACATCAATGAGTAAGTCCCTGCGCGACAACTTCAACACTGACTTTTATACACGAAGTTACAGAATTGTTTCTTTCAAGTTATTATCTTATCAGACTAATATCAGTATTAAAAATTTCATCACAAAAAAAAAAAAAAACACCAACGAAGTTACGCTTGGGATTTGCATGCATTTGTATATGAATGCACGATGAATGGAGCAGAATTATGCAATGTTCAAGCCCAATTATGAGGCATATGAGAATGGCGGCACAGACAAATGGCAGTGAACACAAATTGGGTTATTGAACCGTTATTCCCATCTGACCGTGGTCTACTTTTGCCGTTACACCCCTGCCACGCTCATAGACCATGACAAGGAAGCAAGAAAGGCAACATCTACTATCAGCAATTGGAACCTCAGGTCTTCAATAAACAAGGAAGGGGAGGATAGGATCATTATGGCAAAGAAATGTTTGCAACAGAATAAGCCAAAGAGCATCCATTTAATAGGACATTGAGATTCGAAGGCACATGCATGCACTACCTAAAAAAGAAACGGGGAAGCGCGAAGAAGGGCAAACAACAACAAGACAGATACACACACACACACACACACACACACACACACACA